ATTCCTTTTCACTTTCAGGAAAATAGCAGTGAGATTCCTGTACATTTTCAGAGAAATAGCAACTTGTAGAAACACTCTGCTCTCCCTGTGCCCTGTTTCTTCTCTGCCTTTAAAACTGCAGATCAGAGAAACACTGATTGAGGTCAGCAGAGCGTAGAAAGTGGCTGCCTGTGGCAGAATTTGGCTCGGAACATGAGATTTCCATTCTCATCTCTTCTGTGGTGGTGAGGAAGGTAGACAGTTGCTAAAGTCTATAATGTTATATGTGGTGGTTTTTAGGGCTTGTTAATAGTTTTGATGTTTTATAAGTGTTTTGAACTAAATGAGATTACAGAAAAAAGTCCATTCTAATTTAATCAAATTAAATGTAATTAGATTTTGTATTAATTTTTTCTTTGTCAAATTTATTACCTTTAGGAGGATTTGTAACATAGTATAAATTGTAGCTCATAATAAGAAGTTAGAGAAATAGTGAAATGAGTTTTTATTTTAATAGATTTTACAGTTATGTTAGTGATTAATTTCTCCTTTAAAAAGATTTTTTCCTTTACTTGACAAGTCAATGTTTACGAACATAACTTTTAAATTTAGTTACTGTCACATCACTCTCAAAATCAATACCTGTAGGTTTTTATTATGAACAACATTTGTGCTAATTTTAGTCTTATGACACAGAGAAGAAAAAGAAAATCGAGATTGGCTTGTTTCTTTCTGCTTCGCTGGATGAAGTAGAAATTCTGTCTGTTCCCCAGTGCATTAACCAGCACATGAATTCCATTTGTTAGGAATATCTTCCTTTTGTAGCCAAATTTTCAGAAGACTGGCACAAACCCAGATATAGATCCAGTGAATGCATGAGCATTTTCCCTGTATTTGTGTTGTTAATGGAACAAGTTGCATGTTGCTATTCTATAGATGCTGATCAGCTAAAACGAAGGGATTGTCCTACCCATGATTCCATGAAATCAACCTCAGTTAAAACAGATTAAGGCCATTGCAAAATGCTGCTGATAAAAGCAGCTTGTGTGCTGCTGTTCTCAGTCACAAATGTGACTTTGGTTGGCTGGAGGTGATGTGGTGATCGTTTCAGGGCTTATCTGGGCTGTCCCCCTCCCATTTTTTATGAGTGAAGACCTTTCACCATTCTCCAGATCACCTGCAGAGAACCAGAGCTCCTCCCTTTCATTTCTTCTGCTGCTTCTCCTGCACAATCTGAGAGTGAACCAGATATTAGCCATAAACCCCAACATTCCCATTTCCAGCTGACCACTGATTATTTAACTCCAGTCAGGTTATCAGATTTCCAGTGATCACTTTAACTTATTTCTAGAACAGGAAGGAATATTTTTGCTGATTTTCCTGTGTAAATTTCTTAACTTGCTGTAAAATGCTCTCAAAATTGGATTCATCAACTCTTGCCAGGCCACAAATTACTGCAGATGAATAATAGATGTTCCACGCTGCCAGGTTTGCTTCTTTCCTGCAGGTGAGGCAGCCTCCTGTGTTACCAAGTCCTCAGCCTGGCCCTGCTTCCAAGTGGCTGCTCTGTGCAGTCCCTTCAGTTAGTGATGAAAAACAAACAGTCGCCAAGGTGCCATAGGTAGCACAAATTCATCATCCATTTCTCCATTTCAGGGACGTCCTGCATTTTTGAAACTATTTTCATTCCTTTTGGAGCCTGGAGACTGCTGAAGTAATAATAGCTTACCCTAGGAGCAGATTTCTTAGTAAACACTATGCCATTGTGAAGAAATAGCTATTATTGCATTCGAAAGGAAACCAAGGAAACAGATTTATTGGGCTTTTTTTGGTTTGATGGTGTGGTGTTTTTTGTTTGTTTGTTTGTTTTCCCAGAATACTTGTCAATTAATTAAAATAAATAGAATTTGGGGGGGATTTTTATCCACCCATTGTGGCACAAATGAGTGTAATTTGCCTTTTATGTGTAACTGTATTGGTATTTAGAGATGTTTTTGTTCTCAACTCGGTGCCTCATAATGCAGCTTGCACCTCTGTACCTCAAAAGCCAAAATTACTATCCCCTGAGAAGAACTTTCACCTGTGTTTTAAAAGTCAGAGATCTTTGCAAGGAGGAAACTCAAAACTTATTTTGGAATTTATGTCTGTATCTTTCCCTGTAGTTTAAAGTATTCACAGTCAGTAGCAACTGGAGATCTAAGAAAAGCATTTCTATTTTGATACCTACACAGTTGAACATATCTCTGGGAATTTTATGCATTTTGGGTACTTATGCTACATATAAAAATAGGTATAACTGAATCAATATTATGAAAAAAATGACATTTTGTCTATAAATATTAGTGGAAGAGCTTCAATATTTGGTTTCACACTGCTCAAGCTAGTCCATGAAGTCTTAGAAATTAGTGTAGAAGTGACTGATGGCACGTAAAGTAATCAATGCATTTTAGGCATCCATAGTCATATCTGCCTCTTTTCACCTAACTGGGCATCGATGGAATGCACCCCAAGTTTCTTCCCCAAACAAAAATATTGATCTGTAAAGGGAGAGATACTTTAGTCCTGCAGTGACTGAACATTAATGGCTACAATAAATAACTGCTTCTTAGACAATTGCTGTCATTATCAAGTGACAATTTATTGCTGCACGTCTCATTGTGCACTGCAGTTTGAATCCTTCAGGATGCAAAGCTGCTAAATCAAACCTCACTTATCAATAGGTATAATTGAAAAGGCTTCATACAGACTGCAGTTGAAAATCAGCACAATTTGTTAGCAATTAAATGCCAGCTGTCCTTTGGATTTACTGATACAGATACTATTTAGTGGTAATAGCAAAGGTATTATCTCTGGATCAATTCTCCTTGTTTGTTAAATCTGATGATAGTGCCATCATAAGAAAAAAATGCTTGGAAATATAATTTTCTTGATAAGAAATACAAATGATTTCTGTCTCTTTTCCTTGCAATAAGGTATTCCCAACACAAGCTGCTAAGTAGCTGATATAATCTGTGGATGTATGAGTGAGCAGCTGAAAAGTACTGGCAATGTGGTCTTATATAGGTCTTAATTATAAGATGCCTTTCACACCTCTGATCAGCTGTGAGAATTCTTATATTAAGTCTAATTACTGCAAGTATTCCAAACCAAAGGACCATAATCTCACTAATTCAATAAAATATCTTTCTGTATGAGCAAACTACAAGTGATCTTTTGCAGGGTCTATTAATAGTTACAATAAAGAAGCAGAAAAGGTGTTATAAAAATATAGATAAAAATGGATAAAAAGGTACAGAGAAAGTCACTTCCTTTGCTTGCATGTTGATTATTATGAAAACTTAGGAGGTGGTCTAAGTGTTGAGAAGTCTAGAGAAACTTGGATTCTTTTGAAGAATCTTCAAGGCTTTTGGATTGTGAAGCCAATATATAAACTTATTTGCTTCCTGTTGATCATGGGGTTTGACTTTATTATTATTTTAGGAGAATATAGGAGACCTATTACAGCTGGAGTTGTGAGTTATTGCAAGGTTATTGCAACACACATATTTTGGATATTTAATGGAGAACCAAAAAGATGAATTAAATTACAGGGCTTCTTGTGAGTTCTTGTCTATCAACTCAGAAAATAATTTTAACCTGTCAGGGAAAAATGAAAACCAGAGTCCTAGTCAACAAGGTGCAAAATTGTTGCTTACTGTCATGGTAAATAAGCTCATTTTGCACTGCTATTTAGGATGACTGGTTTGCATCTGCTATTTAGGATATTGGTTTCAGTGCAAATGAGGCATTTTTCAATTTCAGAAAAAAATCAATTGAGATATATTTTAGTTCTTTTATGCAGACAAAATATACAGGTGGACACATATGCAGTGATCCTGAGTCATAGCTTCCTACTGTGCCCCAACAGGTGACACGGCACTGGAATGGAGAGAGACTTCTACTGAACTTGTTTCTAGGGAAGCAATTTTTTAACAGCAAATGCAGATTTCACAGAGTCAGTTTTGAGTTTCTGGAGTTGTTTCAAGAGGAGGAATTTCCTAACTGAAAAAGCAGATTTCACATAAACAGTGGGAGTTTTGGTTTGTTTGTTTGTTTGTTGAGAATGCATGATTGTTGATATTTGCAGTAGAAATCAAGGAGCTCATTGACCTGATTCCTTCCACCAAGACAGAAAACTCTGAGAGACTGAGTAGGCAGGATACTCCCAGCTTGCTCTTTGTCAGCTACCAGGTGGACTGGAGAATTGTTCCATTAGTAGACCAACCAAATTCAAACGTGTTATTCCACTTCACTAGAAATTCCAATACAACAATCAAAAAAATTTTAATTGACTGGAAATGTAGCCATCCAGCAGCCTGGTTCTATCCCTTGTTTATATTCATGGTATTTGCTTGGCCAGGACTTTTGCTTCTGATTGCTTTTGCATCAAAGCTGGCCTTGGCTCAGTGTCAGAAGTAGAACATGGATTGGCAACTTTTCATAGCAGTCCAAGCTCATACATTTCTCCTTTGCCTACCCACATAATCCTTGGTATGTCTGCCTGAGGTTTGTTCCTGGTGCCCCTGTCTCCACAGCACAGGAACAGTTTGGGTGTTAGCAGACAGCAGAACGAACTGATCACAGCTGTCAGGATCCCAGAATACATATTGACAATTTGTGCACTGTTAATCAAATTCACGTATTTCAAACTCTGTTATCTAAATAGAGCTGCCCATCTTGTCCCTAACATTATTGTCCAGGGATTGGATTGTGTCTGGTTATGCATTTAATTGTATTTGAGAATACTCAGGTATGTCTTTTAGAAGGATAGAGCTTAAATGTTTTGATTTTTGATAGAAGTTTTGATTTGATCTCTCATCTCCAACTTTACAGTGTCTTCCTGCTATCAGTACAAAACTTCAAATAACAAAACTCGTGGAAGCACCTGGACTGAAATTCCCCAGGAATATCAAATGTGCTGAGTGATTTAGATCACTGATTCCACCAGTCTCAGAGGAATGTATATTGAGCAATTACAGTGGCCTAATCCCTGCAGCTAAGTAAGATGTTTCTTTGTTTCCTTGTTTCTTTCATGTTTTCTTCTAATACCATTGCAAAAGATAAGCAGCAGTCTGAAGACATACAGCTTTAGCTTGTATCTCCTCCTGAAGCTAATTTATCCTCTACAAGCTGATCAAATGAAAAGTTCTGATAATTGTGCTATTCCTGCTCTACCTTCACCCTTTGTGACTTGCAATATAACCCTCCTTTCCCAGGGCTTTTGTGACTGTGGAAAGGATATGTCATATTGGCAGGAAGGATAAACACATGAAGGAATTGCTTCCTACAGTGATTCTTAAAATCCTACTTAACATTTATTGCACGCCTATGTAAAAAGGGGTTTCCATGCTGGTATACTCTGCTGACAGAGACAAGTTTCCCACAGATGAAGTCATGATCTTGTTTCCTTTCTGTGCATCTCTAGAGACACATGACAAAGTTTTACCTTTGGACATGGTGTTAAAGAACATTCTATTGTTAGGAAGAAAACAGATACATGATACCACATTTTTGCTAATGAACAGTTTACTTGCATGTACTAAGGAAAGATTTGCTAACTGGTCTCCTCTCAAAAAATTTTAATCTGAATCTATTATCTCTTTCTAAGATAATTTCATGTTAGCTCAATATCTACTATCCTTTATTTACAACTTGTGCAATTTTAACACCTACCTTTCTTGTAAGTAGAACTGAAGGATTTTATATTCAATTGGAGTAGGAAAGGCATGTGCTGCAAGATGGGACACTACTGACAGTGACAGAACTGCTGACCTTTCTCCTTCCCTCAGCCTTTGATTTTATCTGCTAACTCAGCTAAGCACCTTTCTAATTAAAGTGACCACAACGAAGGAGAGTTTTTACATTGCTTGATGTGGATATAAATAGCACAACTGCTATGCTGGAACTGAAATTCCTAATTTGCTGCTTCCCCGACCATCCAGTCAAGTTGTGTTTTGAGCTCAAACACACAGCACAGAGAGAATAGATCTGTAACAGAGGCATGAAGAATGAGTGCTGAATGAGTTTCTATCTTCTCTCAATGGCTGTTGAAATCTACCTTGACAGAAACAGCATCAATTTCCATCCTGGGATTTAGAAGTGATTGGGTCTTTGTTGTAAGTGGCCCATTTCTGAAAAAAAAAAAAAGTTTAAATAAATAAAAGAGAAAATCCTGCAAGATTTTTCCCAAACTTATGTCTTTTTTACTTTTTTTTTTTTTCATCTGAAAATCAAACACCATTCAGGTGTTTTCAATCTGTAAGTAACAATCTTATACAGAACTGGAGCATGTAACAGTCACACTTAACTACATTACACGCACTTTCTCTAGGAATTACGGTCTGTAATTCTGGCTCCCCACACTTCATCCTCCACCTACCTGTGAGCTGAAGTTATTGTCATGAATAACTGAAGGATAAGCAAGTGAGTTATTGTTCCTTGAGAGCCACTAAGCTTGGATTTTGGTTATTGGGAAGGGCAAAGTACGGCGTGTTCCATCTCTCCCTTGAGAACAGTGAATCTCTGCTGATCATCTAACCTGGTTTCTGCTGAAGTCAGAAGATATTCCTGTAAGCTTCAGTGAAGTAACATAAGATTTCAAATGCATGTTTTCCCCATTTTTTTAAAGGCTTTTAAAGAAATCCTCTGAGCAATTTAAGTAGCTGTCCAGCTTTTGGCTGGAACTGAGTTAGTTTTCTTCCTGGCAGCTGGTACCGTGCTGTGGTTTGGATTTAGGATGAAAAGGTGTGCTTTAGTTGCAGGCAGGGGTTAAACCATGGCAGTAGCAAATTCCACATGCTCCTGTGTTGCCCTTTTCAAAACTAGAACTCCTGAAAATTTCTATTACAAACAGTAATTTTACTAATTGGGGAAATGAAGTACAGCAAAGCTACTTCATCATTTTTCTCAGTCAATAATTAATTTGTTGTTACCACAGACAATGTTAGCGTGTTTAATTTTTAGTAACTCTTTAATTGCTTATGACCCTAAGAATTTTCTCTCTGCTAACAATGTACTGTAGTTTATTTCTGTTTATTTCTGTGTCATTGCTCAGAATGTGTCATTTCCCGTTTTGTAATAGAACTCTATTAATTTATCACTTATTTATACAGAATTATTTTTCTTCATTCTTCATCTCTATTTAGCCGCTGCAAATATATTTTTGTTCCTCTCTTTTCGTATTTTATTCAGCAATTTTATGTAAATGACATGACATTTTTCCTTTTCCTGCATCTGAATTACTGAAGATTTCCTCAAGTGTTTTGGTCCTAAATGTATGTTATGCTTTCTCCATATTTTTGTGCTTATTGCTGTGTTCTCTTCAATCACAGTTTTACAGTTCACTTTATTCTTTATCTTTTGTATTATATTTTCCAGCTGCAGTGCTTTTTGCTTCCACTCCTGGTTTTAGACACTATAATTACCATACAGACGTGATGCTATGTTATTAGCTTCCTTTATTATATTATTTTACCTACCTTTAATTCTCATTTTTAGTTTTGGCTCATACTAGTAATGTTCTCCTCCTGTTCCAAGACCTGTAGAGCATATTATGATTCTAGAACATCTCTCCCCAACCTGCTCTGTCTGTTTCTACTTCCCTTCCCCACTGTCGTGTCGTAGCTGATACCATCTTGCTGAATAAATTATCAAGATTGTTCTACAAGATATCTGTCATGTGGTGTGTGACCTCTTTTAAATCTGAGATTTAGCTATGAATTCCATATTAGTCCTACATGAGCTGCTCTGATGTAAATGTATAGGAACTGGTGTCTGGCAGTTTCTTCTGAAGACTTCCCGTCTTTGTTCTGCTTTTCCATCCTTGTATAATTTATCACTTTTAGGACACAGTGACTTTGAAAAGGATGTTTTGCCCCAATTACAGCTTGATTGAAGTCAAGTTCAAACAGATGTTCTCAATACACAATCTTGTAAGGAGACTAGTTATTACATGTTAGGGAATAAACACACATGGACACACGAAAAATGTGCAGGTTTTTCCTCCACCTTTATATTTTCACAATTAATAAGTGGTAGAAGTGTCACATTATGATTATGATAATCAATTCAGGATTTTTACCCCATTCAGGAGAAGGTAAAACTGGAAATCTCTTTTAAAACATTCTCTAAATATTTTCTCAAATGTTCTAGATTAAGAGAATATTTGTAATGTTTGGCTTTTTTTAACACCTTAAAGTACATTTTTTAGCAGTGAAACAGAAGACCCAGCGGTGACACAGCTTTCAAGGAGAAACATGAATTTTAGTGTTTTCTTTTTCTGTTATGAAAATGGTGCAATAATCTCAGACTTTCCATAACTGTAAGAAACATTAAAAAGTGACAGAGTAAAAATATATTGGAGGAAGATGAGTGAAAAGTAAAGCTTTTCAGTTATCTGGCCTCTCTGGGCTGTTTCTGAGAGCACAATAATCAATCTGATATTTAATCCCATGTGCTGCTCTTTCAAGTGTAAAGTTTCTAAGACATTTCTGCCTCTCTCTGTGTATCACAGCTCTTCACACAGTTGATGCCAAGAAGGGGTAATGATTAACTTGCCTCCTAATAAGGTTTGTATTTGTTGTGTAACTTCAGTTCCTGCACTAAGTTCTGAATCATGTTGTTAGAGTGAAGCTCTTGCTAGATGGACTTAAATTCAAGCCAGTTTTTGTTTCATAACTGAGAGTAGCACATTTGGAGTCCCTATATATAGTCTGTTCTTGATAGTATGACTGTTATTCATTAAACCCATGGAGATTTCTTAGGTCCAGATTGCCACTCAATGCACAAAATCTCCTCCCTTCACATATAGTCATATATACAAAGGATTAAAATCAATGTTCTCTGGTTTTTATTTGTGACAGTGGGACAAGCACATCAATGCCTCCTCAAATGTAAAACATCTGTTGTCCTATCCTAGGCTTTGGAATTCACAAACGCAAAAGTGAAATACAGAGGGAAGGTCTTATATTTTATTCTGCAAAGGAAGAGTATTTCTAATGTATTTGTGTATAAGAAATAAGTGAAAAATTGGTAACTAAGTAAATTCATGGACTGAGAAAGGATTGAACAGCAATGATTTTTATAAATTTTCATTTGCTTTAAAAATTATACTTTAACCTTTCAACTTAACTGTAGCTTAATCACTTATTTTACATGGGAATTAGTAGGCTCTGAAAATGTCCCAGAAGATGTTTGAAGGCACTCAGGTGCTGCAATGAAAAGCACAATAAGCTGGATACAGGTAAGGACTAAGGCAGAACTATGCAAGTGTTAGTTTATGATCATCCCAATTCCCACCCCCCAGTATCTCTCCTTTCTCTTCATTATTAGATGAAGGCCTTATCCTTTATGAGGTCTCTTTCTGCCCTTTCTGAAGCTTTCAGAGATTTGTTTTTATTACAGGAGCATTTAGAATTTAATTTCTTGTAATTGTGACTCTGTATTAACTGGGTATACTTTATGCACATGAATGTGTCTCATTATCCCTGTATCTTTCCCCAGAAGAATTATACAAGGGACAATATTCACTGTGCTCAACTAGGCAAAGCAAACTGGTAATTTCTGTGCCAGTAATTCTGAAAAAATATAAATCCACCACACAGAAAATCCAGTCTTGAACAGGCAAATCTTTTACAGGCAGTTTCACCCAGATTTCTTGGAAGCATTATTCTCTTGATATATCTTGCAGACATATCAAGCAGACAAATCAGTTTGATTTTTAAAAGTGTAGAGTACTGTGTGGGTCTGTGTGCATAGGTCTGACATCCAGGAAGAGAAAAGAATGATAAAGGACAGCTAATTCTTAGTTTGAACAAGTGTTTTTCCATATGTTGAAAGAATATGTTTGATCACAAAGTGAATAATTTACAGAAAACTTTAGAGTTTTTTCAGGGGAAAGGATGTATTTTGGGGAGTTGGGAAAAGAAATCTCTGCATATTATCAGAATGTATTCAAGCCTGAAGAATGACATTTCATACAGTATAAAGCTCTGAAGTGCAGAATTCAACTACGGGAGAGTTTGGTATAGATATGCAAAATGTGGCATTTCACATAAAGAATCAGAAGTGCACCAAAAGATAGAGAAATGTGTGTTTTGTTATAGTTATTAGATGGAGCTTGATTAGATAACAAGGTAAGTGGAGATTATAGTAAAAGTGTGGTGTGACATAATGCAAAAATGCCTGTAGTGGTACAGATGTATAAAACTGAGCAGAAGAGTATTCCCAGTTCATAAGAATTTGCATGCAAATTCCAGAAAATATTAGTTAATGTTTAAGGGCAAATACCTGTGGTTTATACAATGCAGCAGAGAAGCAGTGGATGGATTTGCAGGAGCCTCACAAAGAATACAAAGGAAAATAGGAATTAGAATAGAAAGATAATGACTTTTACCACACTTTAAACCAGATTGTGCTGTCTCCAACACCCACAGTAAAAGAGGAAAACAGCTGGGAGGTGGAGGAACAACAGACTCTGCTGAGTGAAGACTCTTACAATATTTAATTCCTCCACTGCACAGCACCTGCTGTGTTAATGCACACCAGTGTTGTCAATGTGCTGGTGCTGGAGTGCACTGTGTTCACCAACACAGTGGGTGTTTCCTATCTGCAGTATTTGGCAGTAGGCAGGAGATTTCTTGGGCTGGAGAATGTTCTTTTCAAGCTTTCTGTCCTAGTTTCACAACTCTCTTTCAGTCTGCATCTTGCAAGTTCTTTTTTTCCTCACTTCCAGTGCCTTACCATTTTTTTTTTAGTTTACTCAGATTTCACAGCTCACACCTAAGTAGTCTTACAGAAAATTGTCACCAAATGTTTTCATTAACAGTATATAGTCTAAATCTCCTTTATACCTGTCCATGACCTTTGTGATCTCACAGGAACATCTTAGATCCTGATGAGCTCTATTGATGAAATCTAGTGGCATTTTTGCCCACCTAAAGTAGCCTGGGCAAAATGTCTTCTCAGTTCAGATGGATAGGTTGGATATTAGGAAACATTTCTTCACTGAAAGGGTGGTCAGGATTGGAAAGGCTGGGAACTGGTGGAGTCACCATCCCTGAAAGTGTCCAGAAATCATGTAGATGTGGTGCTTGGGGATGTGGTTTAGTGGTGGGATTGGCTGTGCTTGGTTAGGAGCTGGGCTGGATGATTATAAAAGGCTTTTCCAACCTTAACAATGCTGATTCAGCATCTCCTTCTGCAGGTTTATGCATCTCTGAATACCCACTGAGTCCCCCAGTGGCTTCCCAAAGACTTGTGCAAATCAGATCTTTCAGTTCATATCAGTTTGTATTTGACCTTTATTCTTCCTTGTCCATTAACTGAATGAGGTAAGTTATTTTTATTGTTTGTTTGGCTTTTTTTAAAAATTTGTGTTAAATTTCAAGGCTGTTTTGCTTCCTCAGAGCCTGAAAGTTACAGAAACAAAAATTTTAGAAACTTGTGCCCAGCAGAAGCACCTTCCCCCCCTCTCTGATTCAGGCTCTTGTTCTCAAAGTAATTAATTACTGGAATATCCAGCAGTGCAGGTTGACATGCTTGTCTCTCTCTCAGAGTAACTTCTACAGGCACAAGCAAACGAAACAAAATGGCCAATGCACAGTAATTAGTCAAGTATTTAGAGCAATTCTGAATCAGCTGAGTGAGATAGTACCAATGTACCACAGTATTTTTGATCTGTAGCCTGGCAGTGCAAAGCCAAAATAACATTATTGTCAAGTGAGATGAAAAGTTCCTTGATGTTGAAGCAAAATACCTGGTCCAGTGTGTTCAGTCTGTACTTTGAGTCTGTGTAAGGCATCAGGATATAATGAAAGTGGAGCAAAGGCAGTTATGACTTTCTCAATTGATCAAATCATAATAGAACAATAATATCAATCTTTATCAGTCTAGTGATGTCTCTTGTACTTTTATGTTGTGCAAATAGGTTGATAAGGGGTACAGTTGCCTAAGAATTACTAAGGAAATGCATGTAAAACTCAGTTTTAGAGACCCAGATTGACCCTTTTTAGATGATAAGAATCAGTGCCATCAATAACCCTTCTTTAAATAGTATTGAATATTTTATGATATAACAGAAATTGGTTGAACATTTCAGCTACATACAGACTATAAAGAAGTCCATATGGAAAGCTTGAAAATGTTTGTCAAGTGCTATAATTCCTTGACTTTCACACTGGAAAAATACTTGAATTAATTTTACAAGGTTAAGATATTCAAAGTCATTTGGGCCCTCAAAAGATTATGAAAATTGAGTTCTATTAGTATACCTAATCTGATCAATACTCATCAGTATCTTTACTTAAGTCAGTAATTACTAAAAAATTTTAGATCAGTAATTTATTTTATCCTAATTTAAAGAGAAGCATGAAAAGTGCAGCACCTGCTACATTTATTACAGCAGTATACAAAATTTTGTTTCTGTCATTTCATGTAACCCCTTTTCCTTCCTGAAGGTTTTTTTTTTTTTGAAAAGGAAAATGAAAAACCTTTAAAAAAATTCTGCTCAGAACATAAATGGAGTGGCTCATGTCCCATTTCTTTTTCTCCTTTCTTTTGACTCTTCCATAGTAACTAGCGATTCTGAATTTCTGAAAACTGCTCTGCTCCAATTATATCTTGTTAGTACTGAGGGAGGGAGGGAGGGGAAGAGGAATTGCTCATTTTTTGAATCAACACAGATGAACTCCCTGAATTCATTCCAGAGGCTATACCCTTTTTGCAGGGAAACAATGAGAATGACTTTCAGTGACACTACCAACAAGATTTCTGGATTGCTTGGTTGTTTATTTACCAGCTTAATATACAGCAGTTACAGTGGTATTTTCCATCTGTCCAAAGTGTTTTGGGTAGAGAGAGAAAGTGAATCCAATGCTTACTTCCAAGGTAAAAATCGATTTTAACTAGAACCAATGCATTTTATATTGCTGTGCAACTCAAGACTAACTTAGTATTCACGATGCTTTTCTTCATGCAGTACTCATGTGGTGTGTTTTATTTGCAAAGTGTCATGCACAGGAATAAAGGCCCAGAGGAACAGAACCCTTCTACCTCATACAAAAAGTAAATTAGTTTTTCTTAGCATTCTATCTCTTCATCATTTGGAAAACCTGCTGCCAAGTGAAATTTTCTCCTGATGTCCAGTGCATTTTGTAATAAATTTGTAGCTTGTTTAAAAGGCAGCTGCAGTTTGCACATAATCAGCAAACATCTGCAGTAACTCAAAAGGAAAAGGCAAACCATTAGCACTAGACAAAATGATCAGGGAATATCAGGTACAGCAGATGTAAATGTTATTAATAACTGAAAAGCAAGTAAGCCAGGCTGCTTTAGGACGCTCAGTAGTGTCCAGGAAAAATAAGGGTTGTTGCCTGTCCTGACACACAGAACAGCTGTTAGAGGGATGCAATAATGTCCACAGGAGAAAGTCGAATGACAGTTCTCAAGATTGATGGAAAATGTTTGGTTTTGCTAACTTCAAACAGTGTAGATGCAATTTTGTATGGTATCCACTTAGTGAACATTGATGAATATTATAATTGTCCTCACGCTGATAACATGTCCCTAAGATCAGAATTTGGCACTCTCATGCTCTTGCTGTAGAAAGAGAACTATTTCCACACATACAGATGACTGTAATATGCATTTTGTTCATTTGTTAAAGTACATAACACCCCAGATATCCAGCTTTTATTAGCTTTTACATTTTCAAAGTAGTAGACAAAATCTTTGCTTGGACTCTGAATCTGCTTTGGAAAGCCTGTTTATTTTGGTTTTGTTTTTTTCCTTGGAGGTGCAGTAGGTTCTTAGTGAAGTTAAGTGACTTTCCCTGCAGCATAACAGTTGGGAGGGGAGAAAAAGAAAGAATTAAGACAGAGTTTTCTGGCTCCCAATTTCGTGTTATTATCCATCAGACCAAGCCAGCTCTCCTCTCAGCACTCAGCATGTTTCAAAGTGCTTTCCTGGGAGGATACAACTGATACAGAGGGGGAAATGTGACATTTGGGTGCGTGCTGTGTGTGGCCATCAGGTCTATCACACTGTTTCTAACAGAGCCTGAGAGTCACACCAAATCACAGCAACCATTAAGTCACTTAGTAAAAGTCACAGGGGAGGTCATCATGTCCACACCGGCTTTTTGTCCTCTTTCCATTCCTCCTACTCAGTAGGCAAACAAATATGGTCTGTGTGAATACACATCACAACAGACTGACAATCAGTGAGCAACCAAAACAAATTACTGACAAAATCCCTCTGTCAACTTAGTAGCAAATCTAAACACCACAAACTTTACTATGACGAATATAATAGAGAAAAGAAAATGCTGATTTCATGATGCTGCCATAAACTAAAGGAAAATAATTAATTGAAACCCTAAGCAGGAAATTACAACAATTTACCTTCTCTTCTACTGTCCTCATTTTAAAATTCCTTTTTTCTGTCTGTCTTAACTCCATCTCACATAATTTTTCTCATTTTTTTAACATTCTGATGATTTTTCTTTCTTCAAGATCAGTTTCTTGTATGCATAGTTATACCCACTCTTCCCATATGTGTCAAGATGCCACAGTTATACCTCTTACTAATTAATCTTCTCTGTTCTGGCTTTAAAATTTAAACACCAAAAGACCTTGGAAGTCTTGAAAATCTTACTACTTAATGGTTCATATTTAACTCATGTTAAACTGCTTTTCTCTTGAATGTCAGTCCTTCTGGCTGGTTGATCTTCCTTTGGGTTTCATGATCAGCTTGGTTTCATGATGAGTTACAGCATTGCAAATATTTAGTAATATATTTCAAGTTCAAATGAAAATTCGGACGACTAGAAGGTGTTAATAAAGAAAGGAAAACCTAGAACTTCTAGAAGATTTAAGTCACTCTTCTAACCCAAGACTGAGATTTACATTAGGACCTGAAAAGCAAATTCCACTAGTGACTGACATTTTTCTTTCCTGGAAAAAAAAGTTTTGGAAACTTTTAATTCCCCACTGAAGTGAAAATGGAGCCACTTAATAGTTTTCAGAAAGGGGAAATGTTATTACAAAGTTTAGATTCTTCATTGGCTTAAGAGTTTTGGATTCCATATCAAAATATTTTCATTCCACACCACTTTGAATCAAGCAGAACAGGAGATTAAATGCTGTCACAGACGACTATGTTAATCGGTCAGCAACAGCTTTTGATTCAGTATTCCAGCCCAGGTCTTTGGAAATGGTTTCAGTAGCTTTCCTGAACAATTGGTTCATTGTATGTAATGGTTTTAGACCAGTGAACCAAATCCTGCCTGCCTTTCTCTTCAGTTTCAGTGGGAGTTTATAGGCAATGTAACAGAGCTCAGAAAATGGCACACTACTTGAACTAAAGGGAGAATTTTGGGTAGGTGGAATGCAATTATGAGACTGGAATTCATCCAGGTTTCAGGCAGAAGGAGCTGTGAATCTGTCAAGTGGCTATGAAACATGTCTCAAAGTTGTCCCCAAAGTAGAGGGGAAACAGTATAAGACTAAGAATTCTGTTCCCTTTCTCTGCTTTCAGCGTATGGAGGTAAAGGGGAAAAGTGAGAAGCAGCAAGAGCTGCTTTGCAGAACATTCAGAGAAAACCAGAGGGGAGAGCTGAAGATGGGAGAAAATACCAGTGACTGCCACAACATGTATTTTATTTTATTTTCTGCCCCATTCTGTTAGCAGGTGGTACATACAAGCAGGGTGTCTGATGCTCACAAAGGTAATAAAACATCTTGAAGTATGCAGAGTGTGGGGTAGCTTTTTAGAAAATGCAGAGGGAGAGGAAATTAAGGTGCAGAAACCTCATCAAAATCCAATTTTCTGAAGCATTATAATTGTCTAAACAGAACTGTGTGACTAGTTGTCATTAAATTATGAGAAGTCCTTTATTTACCTCTCCCCACTTGCCTGGAGTCCATAAATCCTGTTCAGTGAAATGCCTTCTCAGGAATCAGGCAGAGATGTGGTTTAAGCTGAGGCTATTTTTTGGTTCTACTCTCTTGTAAGAAATAAGGATAGATTTTTGATGCTTCCAGTCAGTCTCCAAATTGACATAACAGTAATTAGAAGTGATTTTCCTGGTTTCTTTTTCCCCCTTACCAGTTCAGTCTTCCTAGGCAATAACATTCTCTAGAGATTAAAGTGACAGACTGTAGTTAAGTCAGAAACAACACGTCAGAAATAGCTGCTGATTGCTGGATTGGCAGTGTTGGACTCCAAGAAGCCCCACAA